TAACCAAAGCCTTAAGTCCCTGTCAAAAGAGTTCGGTCCGAGAAGTTTCGAATGCTGAGAGATTTGAAGTCAGTGGTCATTTTCCTTTTCCATGGCATCATCCACCGAACAAAGCACGTACACCTGACAGCTACCCACAAATATCGCGCTGATTGACGCCTCGTTAGCGTTGGCAAATAATGTAAGAGCTGGGGAGATTCCACAAAGGCCCTGCGGATATTACTGCTTTGAGCCCTTTTGCTGAAAATGAACATTGGCCCATGTCACAAAAGGTAGAAGTGTGAGCTTGATCTCTTTGTCCTTTGTGGAGTCCGTCCCACAAAAGGGTCAATAAGATTGGTTGAGGAGCTGGATCAACATCTGAGACGTTGTTCACTGAAACGAAAATAACCTCAGTATTTACAAGTTCTCAAATGTGTTTTATAGACTGGCTGACTCGCATAAGTTGAAGGTTTACATAGTACATTGAAAAAGAAATAAATGACTGACAGGAGGTGGTCTGTTGCGGGCGATTTCATGAACTGTGGTCAATATACCCTGCGATTTTCTCGGTGCGTGTAGTGTGCCTACCCCCACCCTCGGAAATGGCACCACTGCCATTTGCACGTCATTTCTGCGAATTTAATTAGTAGGACGGACAGGATGTAGTACTGGAATGTGCCAGGGAACTATTGTAAACCGCGAGGGGGAAAGCAACTAGGGGAAGTGGTAGAGAAGTGATTGAACAATAAAGTGTATCATCTGTCCCGGCCGTCACTTCGTTTCTTCGCACATCATCCCTCACTTTCCTGCCAACCAAAATCACCGACCACTTTCTCCGTGAGAAGGAGCAGACGAGCAAAAACGGCGTGTGCAACCTTGTCAGAACATTCAAGCAGCTTCAACGTCCAAGGTAGATGGGCAAAAAAAGGTAAAGAGCGGAGACCTAGATCGCGCCTTACTCGTCCCTTGAACCTGCCTTGTCCACGACACCAAAACAAGGTAAATCACGCTACACCAGCAACGAGAGAAAACAAAGTAAGAACTCTTCCCTCCATTCTTGTTTTCCTGCAATCTAACTTGAGCGGCGAAGTTACTCAGATTTTTCCAGTCCTTTGAAAATGACGTGATATGAAAGCGAACTGTCTCTGATTCTCAACTCTTCATTCTGTTTAACAAGAACAGCAAAATTGCAAAAGAGATTTATTGCCATTTCCTTGATTTTGTACATAAATACACGTATATGTTTTACTACTATACAAATGACAACACCACCACCACTGGAACTGGTAGGGTAGTTCGCAATCCTAGCAGTCCAATCTTTGCAGCCGTTACAATTGGCCACTTTGAGTGGGGTCAACGGGAAGACCACTGCCTTCTTCAATGGTCACGGGAGCGATTGTTGAAGGCGACAGAGTGCGTCTGTGGGGGTGTTTGCGATGAGGCTAAAACGAGAAACATTTCCTTTCCTCCCCAAAATTACTAGAACAGAAAGGGTTGAAGAGAAGCCATTACCTTGCCGTTCACCTCAACACCATCGGTAAAATCAAGCAGCGAATCAGTAGAAACTGAAGCTCCTGTGGTGAACTCAGGCTCAGCCGTTCTTGGAGAACGTGTGGGTAGATGATGAGGCTCAAACGTGCAAAATCGGTCAATTGAGCCTACACTGAGTGAGAACGGTAGTTTGCTCACCTTTCGTGACATTTCAACCTTAACGAGTTCGGTTGGACCCGCTGGTAAGTCAGTAAAAGTCGTGCCTTCGTCAGTAAACCCAGGAACGATCGTTACTGGTGGACGTGTGTTTCGATGATGGGGCTGAAACGATTAACTCTGACTTCCTAACCGGACAGAGAATTAGAAAACAAGTCTATAAGATGATCTCCTTACCCGTCCACTCAAACGACCCTGTACAAGTTCAGTTGGACCTACTGGCGAGTCGGTAAAAGTCGTGCCTTCGTCAGTAAACCCAGGAACGATCGTTACTGGTGGACGTGTGTTTCGATGATGGGGCTGAAACGCCTAAGCGTGACTTCCCGAGCAGATAGGGAATTAGAAATCAAGTCTATCAGGTGATCTGCTTACCCGTCTTCTCAAAAGACCAATTACGAGTTTGATTGGATTCAGTGGTGAGTCAGTGAAGGTTGTGGCTTCGCCAGTGAACACAGGGGCGATTGTTCGTGGAGCACGTGTGTGTCTTCGATGAAGCTGTAAAACTCGCAAGGCATTTCGAAAAAAATAACAACAAAAGCATAGAGATGGAATACAAAAATAGACAATAGAAAGCAATTATAGTATCAATAATTACTTTTTGGATTCTAGTAGACCCGTCAGTAGACCCCAGCGCTATGTGAAGGCTATCGACTGGAGACGGTACAGCACGTTGATTGACACAGGTCTGGACTCGATTCGAATGGGAGATCAGTGAAGGTTCCCGCTGTGAAGACGGGAGCGATCGTTTGTGGAGAACGGGTGTGCCGGCGATGATTCTTATGAAAAGACTGAAAAGATTCTAAACTGTATAACCATCTACTTTAGGAAACATAAGAGGGCGTATCAAACCTACCGTTCAGGAATGGACCCCTCAGTGTCGCCTAATAGAGGCCCAGCGAAGGCAATGGTTGGAATGGTGAAGACGAATAGAACGCTAACTTTCATGGTTTGCTGCTATGGAATAGAAATGCTACCTTATATAGAACCCTTGCAGATGTTTATCTGAAGTCATGAGACATCCGACGGTCTGCACACCCACCTTACCGATTCCGTCAACTTGGTCTTGCTCTTTGAGATAAGAGCAGCCACGACCGACGACGATTAGGAAAACCTCATTTCCTATAGTTAACGACAAGCGAGCGTAGACAAGTAAACCATGTTTTCACTTGCACGTTTTCTCACCAATGTTGGCGAGCCGGACCAATTTTCGCCAATGCAAAAAACGCCTGCTACTTCATGCGCCATTTCCAAACTTCTGACGCTCGCACGCTCCCTCCAGATGTTATGCACCGTAGGCGCTAAACCCAGGTCCTTACATAAAAAACTTTGCTTAAGACGTTAGAAAAAAAAAGCACGGAGCACGAACCTTCATTCCCCATTTGTGCGCCAGCTGCTGAAATCTGCATTTGCAGAAATCTTTTCCACATGGCGGGACCTCGCGCTATCTCTACAGCAATGCCGCTCGAGACAGAAGGTAAAGGGCTCTGCTTCGACCTTCTACATTACGAGGAGAGTTGAGACGACTCAAAGGCCTTCCCAGGCGCTACGACGATGTCTTTGTTTGCAGCCGAGCGGCAGCTTAGCTTATCGAGAAAGATAGCCGCCAATGACAGAAGCACCATGGTAGGTCCGACTCCGCCCATTCAATTAACGTGGAGTGTGGCGTGCTTGCACCACACCCGCCTAGGAGCAGCAATAGATTTGCTTTACTTCCTTGCTCAAAATTTCCTAAAAAATATGGACCACCGTTGAAACTTCAGATTCGCAGCCTATCCGTCATGTTCACGCTGAACAGACTGAGTGATCACTATGTCACCATGATTGCCATGTTATCAATGCAACTTCACATGCTTTTTCTTTGGTGTGTTTACAGGTTCAACAATAACTATGTGATAACTGTGTTATTGGTGTAAATGTCGGAAGGGCTCAAACATCTCGAGCAAATAATGTTCCATTAGATGGTTGGCGACCAACATATGCTGGACGGACAACTTATGCTGGAGGCTGAAGAGCATCCCACTAGCTGAAGAACTTAGTGTACTGCAAAAGCGCTCGTGGTACCTTTACTTAAACGCCGACAAATGTATCCTCCTGAGTGGGACTCGAAGGCTTAATAATTAATCCCAGCTTTCCAGCATTGCATTACTCGGCGATTTGTTCACACCAAGACAGTTATACCTGATAGCGTTCACTGTGAATTCTCGACAGGGCACCTTTTGCCACTGAGTGAAAATTTCTGTGAAATGCAACCCCCCTCTAACTTGTTGGGGGATCCATGTTCTGGCCAGTGAGATGCCTCGATTCTCGATACCTAAGCAATCATTTGCCATTCACATCAAGCTTCGTTTTTTGCCGTCAAGTTCAGCTCATGACTACAGCCTGATACAGCTCAGGCCTTTTCATTCGATTTCTGCGAGGCAAGTGATAAAGCCAGAATTTTCTTCTGAGATATCCAGCAACTTCTATTGTGCGACCTTTGGGAAATGTCTCAGATTTCTTATGGTTAGCGTCATCCCACCATTATATGCCGCGCAGTGTTTGTGGGCCAACTGCCTAAAACTTAAAAACATATGGCCACGATAACTTGGTACTTGGTCTCAAACTGCTAGAGGGTGCTATGTAGTGGGGAACGAATGCGTGGAAAACGTAAGAAACAATGGCGTCAAAAACCTGCAGATAAAAAGTCTTGTTCGACCACCACTTAGGGGCAGGCGGATTTTGGGCAAGTTTCCCCTTGGCATCGTGCGCAATAACATGTTTACAGCTAGAAAAAAGCCTGCCACGTCTATGTAACAGTCCTCAGCATTGCCAGGGCGTGTGGGGCGAGTGCGTGTGACTCGGCTGTGACGCGACCAGCGATGCAGTCGGTCACAGCGGCCGGAGTCAGCACGCCAACCGGCACCCACCGCTCTGCAATCATGAGCACGCATACTCATAATATCCTTGCAGCACCGCAGCCGCTTAACATTAATCCTCTTCGCCTCCTATTATGCTTCGGCAAATGAAGCAATACGAGCAACAGGTGCGGTCGTCCATTTGCGGTGGGTCGGGCTGCGCTGCCAGCGTCGTTAGCCAATGTGTGAAGCTTTGCATTGCGGCTCCATAAGCATACCTCTTTTAGCAAAAGAGCCTCGCAAAGCCGCCTGCCCAGGGACACAAGAGAAGTCCCCCTGCAAGCGTATGACATCCTTCTCGTCCAGGGATCCTCGTACCAACTGCTTTAAAGTAAAACCGCTTCCAAGTTAGGCTCTCTCAATATCGCACACCAGAACATTGCTTCTATCACCTACCATAGGCCAATGAACGATCAGTACTTTCCAGAAGATTTTCACTGCCCACTCCCATGAGCCTGGGCACCGCACATTGTAAGGCAGCGTTCACACTTCGCGACAGCAGCGCCGATAGCGGCCGACCTTGGCGACTTCGGCGATCGCGGTGATCGCTCGCCGTTACATGGCAGAGCGCGCCCCAACACTATTGTATATAAAAATCTGACCGCTCGCTTGATAAATAAGGGAATACAACTTGTGAGATCTTCTTTTCTCTTAATAATGGCTATTAATTGATAACTTACGACCTTCTATACATAAGCGCGATAAATATGAAGTGAGTAAGTTTCACTTTTCTTTTATGTAGGGATCCAGGCCGACTCCATTTCCTGCGTGAGCTTACTTTTTGCTGTCTTTCGTTTTGTATTGTTTCCAGTTTATTGCAAGCGCCTTAAAATTCTATCTTCCTGCCAGCTGTTTCAACTTTCAAAACATGGATAGTAGTTCACAAGTTGAGTCAAAACAACGAAGCGAAAAAGAAGAAACAGAAAGCCAACCCACTTACCTAGGAACCAAAACACGTTTATCCATTTTTACGCATTATCAACATGTGAAAACTTTATAAATTCATGTATAAGTTTGACGAATGAAAAAAGAAACAATAAAAACCCACCCTTAATGAACATTATAAATCAAAAAAGAAAATTAGAAAACAAAAGCCATTAAGTTGGGTCCACCTTTCCTTATGTCAAACCAAGCTTCAGTACCTAAGAAAATTGCAGTTAAAGAAAAAAAGCATAAAATTGAGTCGCTTCTCCCTAAAAGCCTTCGGAGGCGGCTCCAAGTAATAGCGTTGGGGCGCGCGGTGCCCGATCGCCGAGGTCGCCGCGATCGCCGCTGTTGTCGCGAAGTATGAACGCTGCCTTACAATGAGCGGTGCCCAGGCTCATTGGGAGTGGGCACTCAAAATCTTCTGAAAAGTACTAATCGTTCATTGGCCATTCCCTGGAAATGCGTACAGTTTTCTGCTGTTTCAGGTCTTGTAGCATATAAAAGTCAAGAACACTTTCGAGAAAAAACTTGAGCAATTCTCCTTGTAAATGTCTCCCCAACCGTAGGTCATAATGTGAGCTGAATGTTAGCATGGGTCTTATCTACGTGGGCTGAAAGACGACAGCTTCAAAGGAAGTTGAACATTATGGGCGACAGATGGTCTCGTGACTCCTGATAAGGCTTGTTCATCGGTGCTATATAAGGCAGGAGTCCCACTCACTGGCAGCTCACAATGAGATTCGCTATCGTATTTTTCATCGCTTTGCTAGCTTTGGCTCTGGCTAGACCCCACTCCAGCGACAGTTCAGATTCTGATGAGCATTCTCGCACAAGAAAGGTAAGCACATGCTCCTGTTCATTATTCAAATCCACTTTTGCTCTGAAATACCTTGTAAGTATTCCATGAATGCTTCAGCCACATCACAAGCACCATCATCGACACACACATCGCCCTCCACCGCCACCACGAACTGTCGCTCCTGTAACCACTGAGGAAAGCCCTGTCGTCTCCGATGCGCCTTCTGATGCTCCCTCAAATCCCACCGAGATTGGCCCCATCGTCACTATAGGCGACCTCACCACAGGACTTTCCTGAAATAACATCGGCTGTTCCCGAAGGCACCGTCGAAAGTGTATCTGTTTCGTCATAACT